TACATGGCTACCCATGTCCAAAAGGGAGTAGATGCTTCTTTCTCTTATGTTTGCTCCACTGTGTTAGGCAGATTGGTCTTTTTGCCTCCAGGGATAAATTGATTTCAAAATAGGAACACTTTAATGTACTTAGTTTAAAAAACCTACATATTTTCAGTTGTTTAGTAGAAATGATTAAAATTTCAGAATAACAGAACTTCATGCATTTTGATGTTTACAAATCTATAAGCAATGGGTGGACTGAGAATATTACTTGATTTTTTTTTTTTTTCTGCTACCAGGGAGCAAACTCAGGACCTTGTGCTTGTGAGGCAGGCACGGTGCCACTAAGCTTAAATCCCAGGCCTGAGAATCTTATTTCTGATAACATATTGGTACTCCCTAGTGAAGAATTACTAGTGACAGCATAGAAATGACCTAAACTTTTTTAGATATAAAAAATGTTAATGATACAAATTATATTGAAATGGACTAAATTCTTAGTCACAATGATAGGGCTGGCTCTTCTGGGTTTCCCACTGGCTGTACCTAAGATCACATTTTCTGAAAATATTTTTAAAAGCCCTCAAAACTCTTCTCTTGTAATATGTATTGATAGGGAAAAGTTTTAGATAACTTAATAGATTGAATATTAAGGTGGTTGTAGAAGCAAAATAAGTAATGTGTTCTTTTAAGATTTGCTTTTCCCTGGTCCGGGGATTTAGCTCAGCGGTTCTGGTGCCTGCCTCGCAAGCTCAAGGTCTCAAGTTCGATCCCCGGTTCCAAAAAAAAAAAAGATTTGCTTTTCCCATAACTCTCCTTGTTTAAGGTGAAGGTAATCTGACTCTTTAACCAGTAACTTCATTAACCTAACAAAGTTGCAATGTCAGGGTGAATTTACAATGTGTATGTGCCTATCTTGTGTCTGTGACTTGTAAATAGGAACTGGAATTGTATTTACACATCAAAGACCACTAGGGATGAGATGATGGCTAAAAAGGATATAAAAAGGGAAATGCTGAACAAAGGGGTGTGGATACTAACCAGACCGGTTTCTGGTGTTCCTGCCTGCTCGCAAGTAGAAATTTTATTATTTTACCCAAATTCTGTGTCTCCGTGTATTTCTTTCTGAGATTTCTGGAACAGTATATCAACTGAAATGCTCAAGAGCATGATTTCTAAACATCAAATGCATGAAGTTCTTTTATCAGCTACAAAAAGGTCTGTATGTGCTATGTCAATCTTTTTTCTTTTTGTTTATTTTTGGACTTATGTCTTCTTCAGGATCCTTCGAAAAATAAATCGTGCAAAAGGTTAGTATCCCTTTCTCAGACTTCCTTGTGCTGTATGTAATGTCTGGGAAGAAGTTCTATAAATATACGTGTATAACATAAGAGTACAGTTTGATAACTCTTTCTTCTTTTGGCCCAAATCATTGCAAATTCAGTAGTTCTTTGACATTAGCAAAATTAATTTTTTACAGTTTCAACCAGTTTGACTAATCTAAAAGGCTTATGCCTTAAGTAATTTTTAAATCTTATTGTGATATCAGTAAGAGCCCAGTATGCATGGAAAAGTAACTGCTGTTAAGTCAAGGCCTGGATATCTGTACTTCAGCCCAGCTATGTGACTTCTACTTACAACCTAATCACATATAATCAGCACAGCTGTAAGAAAGGTGCTGTTATCACATTTTAAAGAAGAAAAAATTATTGGTCATTTTTAGGAATTTGAGTTTTCTCAAAGGTTTACTTATATCTCTTATAGTAATATAATAATATTAGGTCCGAAAAGTATGAATTACCATCACATAAAAGTTTCTACTTGAGATAACTGTGGAATCCTTGGCTTGGAAAAAAAATCTTCGTGAAGGTTATATAGAGTCATTTAGGCTCAGCAAAAAACAACATAAAGAATTTGAAAATATAAGCTACAAACTTGAAATAGATTTATGCTACACATAATACTGATTAAGCTATTATGGAGAGTACATAAAGAATTTTTGCAAATGAACTTTAAAAAAATAACTCAGTAGAATATGAGAAAAAAACCTAAGCACTTTATAGAAGAAACAGATATAAGCATATGGAAAAAAGCGTTTAATGTCATTTATCACTAGAGATACAAAGTAGAATCATAGGTATGTTTCACACCTAAATTAGCAAAAATTTTAAATTCTGAAAATAAGAATTTAGAAAGGGGATCACCATGACTCTTAAGTACTCCTAAGGGGAATGTAAATGGATATGATCACCTTGGAAAACAATTTGACATTATCTAGTAAATTTAACAACACAGAGCACTTCATTTCTAGGGATGTATGCAGTAGACAGGCCAGGTGTGGTGGCACATCCCAATTGTTCCAGCTACTCAGAGGTTGAGGGATGAGGATCACTTGAACCCAGGAGTTTGACACTAGCCTGAGCAAGGTAGTGAGACCTTGTCTTAAAAAGAAAAAGCACGGGCCAGGGATTTAGCTCAGTGGTTTTGCTGCCTGCTACACAAGCGCAAGGACCGAGTTCGATCCCTGGTACCAAAAAAAAAATTTCTTTTAATGGGCAAAGGTAACCAGACATGATGGTGTACATTATACACCTATAATGCCAGCACTTTGGGGGCTAAATCCAGGAGTATCACAGATTTAAACCCAGCCTGGGGAATTTAGAGACTGAGTCAGACCCCTGTCTCAAAATACAAAAAAAAAAACCAGTCTGAGGAGGTAGTGAAGGCCCTGGGTTCCATCCCCAGTACCACCAGAAAGGAAGGACCAGAGGTGGTAGCTCATACCTGTGATCCCAGCACTCAGGAGGCCGAGGCAAGAGGGTCACTACAAGTCCCAGGCCAGCCTGGGCTACTCATGAGTTCAAGAGCCTTTATCAAAAAAAAAAAAATTTTAAAAAAAGGAAGGGAAATGTGTGCCCAAGTATTTCAGGAAATATGTACAAGAATCTTCGTAGCAAAAAAAAAAAATGTTCATAGCAACATTATTTAGGATATTCAAATATTGGAAACTATCCAAATAGTCATCCATTAATAAAATGAATGAATAAATTGTGGTATATTCATGCAATAAAAATAAATGGTTCATAACTAAGTGCAATAACTCCATGAAGTATTCAAGAAGAAAATTCTGTCTTATCTTATGGTAGGAGATTATTGTTGACCTTAACACCTCCCTTACTGCAGTGGAAATGTGTTTTCTTCTCTCCTCAGTGGCAGCTAAGTAGTAGGAAAGGTTATTATGAAGACTGACCATTGTTTTTGCACTGAGGACTTTTTCTTCAGTGTTTTTCAAGGACCCTGTGTTTGGGCTCTAGTCTTTGGCTGTTGCTCTTCCAAAGGTCTGAATTCATTTCTCTCATGGGGAGAGTATGTGAATGTTCCCATGTGCCACATTGCCCTTACAAATGCCATCTTGATTAATTTTTTTAACAAAGGCTGCCTGGCTGACTACTAAATTAATTCAGAGTAGCTTTCTGCCTTACTTCGGTGTACAGGGTGCGAGGCATGTTTAGGCAAAGAGAAGTGTTTTTGTTACGAACCTCAGCTGGATTTTTTGGCTTGCAAACCTTTCAATACCAAGACTGGTTATGTGTTAAGTAGAGGGGCAGCCGGGTCATTTGGATCATGGCTTTACACTAAAGCTAGCAGTGCTGACATACTCTTCTACAGAAGAATTATTTTAGGGAGAAGGGTTACTGTTCTGAAACACTCAAGGAAAGTTGTCCGTGGTACTTCTTAAGCCAACTACAATTTGCTTAACTCTCTTTGGAACTATTGTTATGTTCTTTATGTGTGTATCCTTTTTAGTGTCCAGACTCAACTAGAGATCAAAAGGGCGGTTTAGAATCAGATCAACTGACCAGCTTGTGATTTGGAGTGCAGAGATTGTGTCTGCTATATATGAAAGGAGGATAGTGGTTTTATGGGGTTGTGGTAAGGATTAAATTTTTAAAATACATGTGAAGCAAATAAAATATTTCTGATAGTTGGATTAGATACTGCTTTCAAATTTCCAAATTTAGGATAGACATGGAAGTACCTATATATATACACACATATAATGGCATTTTTTCCTACTTAAAACTTAATTTGGTCTGGAAATGTAGCTCATTAGAGTATTTATCTAGCAGGCATGAGGCCCTGGGTTCAGTCCCTAGCATGGGGAAAATAATAATTATATTTGAGGGCCAGGGATTTAGCTCAGTGGTTCTGCCACCTGCCTTGAAAGTGCAAGGTCTCAAGTTCGATCCCTAATACAAAAAAAAATTGTATTTGAAAAACATCTTCACATATGTATGTATGATACTGGAGATTGAATCCAGGGCCTTGCACGTTAGACAAGTGCTCTACCACTGAATTATACCCCAGTTCAACATGAGGAAAACAAAAGCACAAAGAAGAAAACATTTTTTGTTGTTTTTTTTAAAACAGGGTTTCACTATATAGTTCAGGCTGTCCTTGAACTCACTATGTAGCCCAGCTGGTCTCGAACTAGAGGCAGTCATCCTGCCTCAGCCTCTTAAGTGTGAGGATTACAGGCATGAGCCACCACACCTGGCTATAAAGAAGAACTATTTAAACTCTCCAAAATCTGATAACCCAGATATAACCATTATATGTCTTCGAAGAAACATCTATAGAAGGATGTGTGTGTGTTTTGATATTTTTATCTTTTTTAAAAATTTACTTTTTAATATGGCACTCCAAAATAGTTTGTCTATGCCAGGCATGATGGTGCATGCCTGTAATCCCAGCACTTGGGAGGCCTAGGCAGGAGGATCACCACAAGTTTGAGCCAGCCTAGGCTACATAATGAGTGCAAGGCCATTCTGAACTATGTACACCCTCTCAAAAAATAGTTTAGGTTTTTTCCAACTACTGTGTGATAAAAGCAATTAAAGTTCCCAAAATAAAATCAAAACTGACTGCCCACGTAAGCATTAAAATGTCAATTCTGAAAGATAGTGTATGTTTGCTATAAAATATTCACAACTTCATTGCTTTTTTCTCATTTCTAGTTGCTGGTCATATTGGATTTTCCCCATTGTGGGCGCTGTTCTCTTAGGTTTCCTGTATCGTTACTACACAGCGGAAAGCAAATCCTCCTAAGAAGACCTTGTTGAAGTCTGGGAAACACATCCATGTGGGAGTGAAAGTTGAAAAGACTTGCTTTGGGGCTGCAACAGTGTCCCTGGAATCCTGCCAATTGTATTCTCCCCAACTTGGAACCAGGACGGTTGACCAGATGTCCACCTCCAATCTGGGACAGGTGTCCTTCCTCTCTCAGAGCCTTACTCCCAGAGCACCTTCTCATTGTTGTGTCCTGGCCACTATTTCTTCTCATCACTGGTTTCCACAAGTACCCTTACACTTCACAAGTTTATGTTGCTGATTGCAGTTCACACATTGTAGTAACATTGCTCTGTGGGAAAAAATGCCTGCTTTCCGATACTTTGAATGCACATTAGAGTTTCTTATCAGGGTAGCACTCTGGTTTTTGAAATTTTTCTTTTTTTCATTTTTAAAAATCTTTTTTAAATTCTGATTTGATTCTGTTATTTACCATAAGGGGTTTCAGATGTGAAGTAAAAATGCACACCTATTATTTACAACATGACTGCCAAATGACCTTGTTCCCTATTTATGTTTGTTAAAACTAGAGAGAACTATGTGGTCATCTCCCTTCCAGGCTAGTGTAGCTGGTAGCACTTCCCACCCCCTCAGTCCAGCCCCTTTTTTTCCCAAGAAGTGCTGGACAAAACTGTGCTTTCTTGGGGGTGGGACCAGCCAACAAAAGAAAGGAATGGATTGGGTGGGGTAATTAAACCCTGACAAATTAAGAGTAATCTTTCTTGGGGCCGGGGATTTAGCTTACTGGTTCCGCCACCTGCCTGGCAAGTGTAAGGTCCTGAGTTCTATCCCCGGTACCAAAAAAAAAAATCTTTCTTTTGAAAAATATTTTTAAAACACTTCTTTAGGGCAGGAGTTTAGAAAAGGCACCAAAACCTTTTCTTTTGTTTGGTACCGCCTTCTAACTCACACTCTCCCTCCCTCTCCCTCTCTCTCTCTCTCTCTCTCTCTCTCTCTCTCTCTCTCTCTCTCTGTGTCCCCTCTCTTATTGGTAAAAAAAGAATGAATAATTATGTCTATAGAGTTTTACCAAGGATTCTTACCACTTTTTGTATGATTAGCAAAATTTTGATTCCTCATTTTACAAAAGCAAGAGACTCAGTGAAATAATTTCCATATAAAGTATCATTTGAAAATGAAAGATCATAACAAGAGACTGCTTTCCATTCCATCTGTATTTTTACCTCCATGGCTCCAACTTGTGGTTCTATTTGACTCAAAATAAACAATAATAATTTTAAAAACTGGTAGGGTTTGTTATTTTCTTTTAGACTTGTATATTTGTCTCAGTGAAAAGTAGGTTATATAAAACTATGTTGCTGGGATTTCTGTGGCATCTTGATTTTATTTTTTTCCTCAGGGAAGCACCTGGATCTACTGGCTGTTTTCTGCCAGTAGCTTTGATTTTTTTTTTTTCCCTGTCCTGTGAGGATTACCTGTCTGCTTCTGGGCTGTGGTCGTATCCAGTAGGGAGCAGCTGGGTTCAAGTGCCACAGACACTGCTTGGTATCAAGCTTGCCAAGGACTGACAAGACAGGAAACTGTCCAGCAAACCAGAGCCTCCCCATGCAGAAAAAGTTTAAACCAGGCCTTGTATCCTGTGCTTTACAGTTGATTGAATTCTGAATTCATCAAGGTAATATTAAGATTTTCTTTACATACTTGGATATGATACTTTGGAGTGACTTATGGCTGATTTTTATATATCAGTTATGGTTTAATCTAGTATCTTTAGAAAATGTTTATAAAATGATAAGATGCTACTTTAAGAAAACGGAATGAATAAATGATTATTATATAGCAAGTGGTATACCTTGATGCACCTCCACTTAAACACAAAAGATTTCCTTGAATAAGAGTTGGGATGTAATTGCTGTAATATCTAAGTTGTGTGATCATATGGAGTACATCAAGGTAGAGGGGAAGAACAAAGGAGTATTGAGGAAGAGGAAAGGCTACATTCAAGCTAAGCTAGAAGAAAACCAGAAGATAACTTGGATCAATTGTAAGAGTGTGTTGGCAGCCTCTAAAACTGAATGAAAAACATCTGGCTTATAAGAATATTAAAGAACTATAGTCTGAAGCAAAATTGCTGTTTATGATATTTCTAGGGTAAACAATTCAAAAAGTATGTTTTCTATTCCATATTAGGTTTTTTTTTTCCTATTTATATCTGGACTTGTTTTTTGCTGAAAGCCAGAGGGAAAAGTTTTTCAGACTTCGTCTCTACCATCCGTGGAATCCATCTAATACCCAGGGCTCCTTTTGAACTACTGCTAATGTGATGTCACTTTTATTATAAAAACACTTCTCGGTCCATTTACTATGATTCTCCTTACATAAATGGCAAGGTGAAAGTTCTTGAGTGAGAGTTTGCAGAGGCTTGTCTCAACAATGGAGTGCATGATAGCATACTCTGATATACACACTAGCACACTAGCCAAATCCATCGGAAAGGGCTTCTGTTTAAGAAGTCGACTTGAATTCTCAAAACAGTCTTGACATCAGTAGGTTGTGAAAGCCAGTCTTTGGTGAATGGTGTCTCCTGGTCTCTGGGGTGTTTTGTTGTTTGTTGTGTCCCTAAGGAGGACCAGCTGCCACTGTACACCGTACTGTCCACGGCAATCGCTGTGAACACAAAAGGCGAGAGAGATTTTATGCCACCAAAATGGAGGATGTTGGTGCCCGTTCTCCAAAATTTCTCATCTCCTGCCTCAGGAATTGTTTTCCATTTCGAGATAAATTTTACATGTATAAAACAAGAAAGCGATGGGGACAAAATGTATATTGTATTTAGATCTCTTCATGTGACCACTCAGGCAGAAACAAAATTTATTGGAACCAATCATTTGAGCTGTAGGGTTCTTTTACCAGTTGTCATAAATGCTTATGTTGTGAAACAAGAATACTGTTGGGCTTATGCTCATTTAGTGCCAATGTGGAGCAATGAAAAGTGCTTTACAAGCCAGGTAGTCCTTCCTTCCGGCATCTCATGTTTAAAATCTGCAGTGATATCTGTGGTTCAATTCCATTTTAGGAGACTGAGATGCAGAACAGTAATTTTTTTTTAACCTCCTACTCCAGGAGAAATGGATTCAAACATGTCTTGTCTCAACAAGAAATAGATTTTATTAACCATCCCATTCTGTTGCCAGATAGCATGAAAGTAATGGGGAGTTTAGTCACATTTGGCTGCTGTGCTCTGAAGAAGCTAGGTGTGGGATCTGTGGGAGTGATTGAGGAGGGAAGTTCCAAAGAACCAGAGATCCAAGTCCCTTATCCCAGATCCAGCGCTGTACTCGTGTTTTAATAGCTACTCCTTGCTCATACCTATCTCCTACATTGGCTATTTGAGCAAAACATTATTTCACTTGTTTAACTTTCTTCTTACTTCGCCCTTGACTGTGAATGAATACTATTAACATTCCTTTTTGTATTCAGTAATGACATTTGTTTACATATTTTATTTCAGTATATTTTGAACAAAGATTTTTATCTTGCTAGAGTTTGCACACAGTGAATGTTAGGACTACGCACAATAAAGATACTGTTTTCCTTTTCTTGCCATGACTACAGTTAGCAAAAAATTTTTTTGGAGTACAAAAGTGATGGCGTTATAACCCTCAGGTGTTCTAGATTAAAATAATTTGGCAGTAAGAAACTCACCTGTATCTGTGCTAATACCATGTTTAGTCTAATTTAGTCTAATTAGGGAATTCTGTTGTTCTTCAGGATTCTTGCTGTGCTTCGCTGAAAGTTTCTTATTTGATAATCACAAGATGCAAAAATAAAGGCTTTTGCCATATTAATGGATGTGAAGTGGGAACCAAGTAGACAGTTTGAGATTCAATTTCTACTGAAACCATCTGATAAAAAAAAACCCAATACAAAGTAATAATGTTCTCTTATCTGCAATGCCAGGCTTCAAGTGACTGTTTTTCTTGGAAATAGCTAAACTATTAGGGGAAAATTAAACAGAAATTAAAGGTCTAGTGACTGTGTTAATAAAACGAGAAATAAACCACTTTTATCACTACCCATAAAGCATACTGATAGCCTTCTAACATTATATCTGATTACTGATGAAAGATAGTTCATTAGGACTTTTCACTATCACAGGAATTGAGCATTAGTAACTACCAGCATTTTGAATCTAATTTGTAATCTTTTTCTTTTTTTTTTTGGTACCGGGGATACAACTCGGGACCTTATGCTTGTGAGGCAGGTGCTGGAACCACTGAGCTAAATCCCCGGCCCCCCTGTAATCTTTGATACTAATAAGAATTTATTATCACAGCACTCTTCCTGATGCTGAACATTTAATAGATACTTGACAAATTCTGGATGATTGATGTTGAACTAAGGTAGAAGATTGTGACTGACCCTCAGATCCGTCGCAGAACTTTGTGTGTGTGTGTGTGTGTGTGTGTGTGTGTTACTGAGGGTGGAACCCAGAGCCTTGAGCATGCTAGGCAAGTGCTCTACCACTGAGTCACATCTCCAGCTTTGAAAACAGTTTGTTGGATCTAATTTAGATTTTGACTATGTTGCTAGAAACAACTTTGGGTAAGAGGTAACCTATAAAGTATAGAGATTTAGAGATTAGGCAGACATGTGCCATACGTTTGTAATGCCACCTACTCAGGAGGTTGAGGCAGGAGGATCTCAGTCTGGGTAACTTAGTGAGACCCTGTCTCAAAAAGGGATGAGGATGGGCCAGGGATTTAGCAGCGATTCCAGCTCCTGCCTGGCAAGTACAAGGTCCCGAGTTCGATCCCTGGTACCAAAAAAAAAAAAAAAAAAAAAAAAAAAAAAAAGGAATGAGGATATAGCTCAGTAGTAGAGCCCTTGCCTAGCATGCAATGGATTGAATGCACAGTAAAAAATAACATTTAAAGGAAATATTTTGAGGGTTATTGGTGAAATCCTTAAAAAGCTCAGATGAAAAGCCCTTATATAACTTCACCCTGGATAAGATTTAACGTAGAACTGACATGGAAGCCCATGCCTATAATCAGCTTCTTAGGAGGCTGAGGAAGAGGATTGTAAGTTCAAGTGCAACCTGGGCAACTTAGCAATACCCTGTCTCCAAAAGAGGTAAGAACGGAGCCCAGTTATTTTTATAGCATGAAAAGATTGGAGTTTGTTGGAGAGAGTGTAATGGTTTGTGTTTAAATGTCCTCCTAAACGCTCCTGTAGATGAGGTGGGACTTTCTTTTTCAGAGGTAGTTGAATCTCGAATGTGTTATGCTGGGGTTAAGGGCGCGTGATTACTAAACCACTACATGTGAGTGATTAGTTTGGCACCGCCCTAATCCCCGGTAGTCTGAATAAGATAAAAAGATGCTGTTAAACTTCCCTTGTTCCTTTTGCTACCTTGTACGCGCCATGTTGTTTCTGCTCTGCGAGGCCTGTTTGTCATCCCTGTCGTGGAGCCAGCCAACTGTGGACTGAAACCTCTACAAACTGTAAGCCAAATAAACCCCTTCCCCTCTAACCTTGGGTGTTGGGTATTTTGTCTGAGCAATGAGAGAAAAGTAACTAATACAGACGGTACAACTCAGTGCAAAAGCAAATGTATATTAAAATGTAACATGACATTTTGGATCCACAAGTGCCAGTCTCAGGGAGTTTTCTATTATTTGCTCCCAGTCCTAGTCTCTGTGACTGAAACATAGGTGTTAACTTTTAGAACCCCATGGACCTGCAAAGAGTAAAACCAAGCCAATCCTAGTTGCTTGAATTTCATTTTCCAAGCTTACTTAGGATCTTTATTCCAGTTTTTCAGAAATGGAGGTGAAATTACCTTGTAGAACAACAGATTTATGTTTGCCAGGAAAACAAATCTCAGATTTGCCAAATTGATTTTATTACCTAAGAAAACTGACGGGGGACAAATAGAGATTGAATTGGGCGAGGCTAAGCCATGATCAGTGCAGGAAAGCTAGAGCGTTCCAAATCCCCCAGTTTGCCCCCCTTTTTCTCTGGTTTCCTTACCCCTCCCTGTTGTGAATTTTCCCCTAGGTCTCATCTCAGCCTGTTTTGCCCTCCTTACTTCGCCTTACGCTTTTACTCTGTAAATGACAAGCTAGCACCTCAGCTGTGCTTCTCTTCATCTTTTAAGTTCTATGGTACAAAACTGTACCCAACAATATGTCTTAGAAAACATTTGGAAGAAATAAAATTAATTTGTTCATCACTTAGACTGTGCAAGTAAACTAGTGCCATTTCACTTGAACATCTCTAGC